TTTTTTTTTTTTTTTTTTAGTTTTTCAGATCTCAGATTCGAGATCTCGACGCTTGTTTGAGATCTCTTGTTTCAATTTCCTTTCTGGAGGAGCAGGAAGTCGAATTTCGGCCGGATGATGCACCGCGCACATCACACAACGCGCGAGTATCTATTACCGCTCCGCATTCTACTGCGAATTAGGAACCAAATCTGTTTACTTATTGTGGCAATGTCTCACGTGCAAACCGATTACAGTTCTTATCGCCACAGGCTGACTCCTGTTCTCCATCCGGGAAGTCCTAGTATCTCGGATTCGTAAAGCTACAACTATTTACGATTCTCAGAACGAAAAGATCGTTCTCACGTTGCAAAAAAAAAAAGAGACGTGAAGTCCAGGACGTAACAAAGACAGTGCAGCTGCATGAAAAACATCTGGGGGTCATGCAAAAAGCTGCTTTGTTGGGTACTGCAAACATTGTCTGCAAATTTTTAAGCCTTCATTAATCAACATCAGTGATCGAGGTTGCAAACGGACATTACAACTGAATTAACATTAAAGATAACTAATCGTAGAAGATGGTTGCGCGATGTTTCTACGCAATGTTTTATCTTCTGTAAAAAATGTGCAATATCATAATATGCTAATTCATCAAAATGTACATTATCATCCACTTGCTGAAGAGATTTTCCTTCATTATGCTACTTTCCGTCATTATGCTTAACACTTTATGTGCGAGCACTCTTTGTCTTACGTGAAAAAATTCTGGCAATTGTGTAAATATAAAAAAACAATAAAAACAACAACAACAACAATAATAATAATAATGCAAAAACTAAACTATTTCTTTTACTTTCTAAATAAAAAAGGAAGAGAGAGTGAGACTTACTATTAGTTTTCTGCGTCTTGTTTATTTGCGCATAGTTTTGTAGCTTTGCGTTATGAAGGATCGGATCAATCACTATTTTTCGAATGCTCGTAGGGACGTACAGACTTTTTGTGTCTTTTCCAAGTATATTCAGTTGCAGCAATGTGTCCATAAACGTGACCCAATTACTTGCCCAAGCAACGTGTCCTTTGTTACCCGTTATTGATGCGCTAAGTAACCCACGAAATCTATCACTGTATTGATATCCGCGTAATTTCAATTCTTTGTAAATATCTTGAGTGTTCATGTGTTCTTCCTCTGTATTATCCGGTAATAAATCAATTGATGCGGTTTCCTGTTCAATATCTATTTCAGTAGACACCTCACCTGTCATAACGACAGTGTCTCTTTCACATATCTCGAACTTCCCGCTTTCTAAAATAGTTTGTAAATCTCTTTTATATAATAAAATATAATTATTTTTCTTGTAAACCTTATTATAAATCTATTATTATTATTTAATTTTTTTTTTATTTTAATTCAAAAACTCTATGACAAAAAAAGATAGATACCTTCGTGTAATCTGATTATCAACTCCACACTATCATTTGTTGATAAATGCGTAGCGCGAACAAATCTTAAATCTCTGAACACTACTGGTAATGCTAAATAGAATTCTCCTTTGATTTTTCCGATAGTTTCCCACACAAGTGCAACATAACCCATCGCAGGTAATAAGTTTCTCTCATCTATTACATGACCCGTCATGTATTCATAGTCTTCATCAAGAAGCTGTATTGTGACGAGTCTTTCCCTGGTGCTACTGTATTCTGGTATCTCATGTAGTGCAATCCAGTTTTTGGAGTGATCCCATCTAGAATAACAATCTTGTGTGTTTGAACATGAATAATATAATTGCTTTATAATAAAAGATACATTTCTTTTATAAATAACAGAAAGCTAAAATTCTTAACAAAAATATGTTTCAAAACAAGTTCTTTATACAGACAAATTCATTATCTAATTTTATTTAGTTATATGTAAAATTATATATAATCATATATGGACATCGTGTATAATTGTATATAAATTATACATAATTCGAAGATGTATATATATGTATATATATATATACACACATATATATGTATATATATACAAGGTGTCCGACAATTACTTTAACATCTCTCGTAGGCAGGTAGAAGGAGTAAAACTGAGTCAAAAAGTCCTGAACCATTTTTTTCTATTAAATATAATAAAGGAGTAATTATTGAATAAATCAAGCCAATCAGCGCCGACCTTTAGCTGGGCTCACGTCAGTGAGTCGTGCAGAACGCTCACGCACACCAGACGTGTGGTTCACTGACGTGCGTTCGGCTAAAGGTCGGCGCTGATTGGCTTGATTTATTCAATAATTACTCCTTTATTATATGTAATAGAAAAAAATGGTTCAGGACTTTTGGACTCAATTTTACTCCTTCTATCTGCCTACGAGAGATGTTAAAGTAATTGTCGGACATATATATATATATATATATACAGGGTGTCTCGTAATTGCCGTCTCACCTCTTGTAAGCAGGTAGAAGAGATTATTCTAAGACAAAAAGTTTTATACTATTGTAAAAGATTTGCAATAATTAACGAAATATTAATTAATAAAGATCCGCTAATCAGCGTGCATCCAGCGTAAGGACAGCCCAGTCTATCGCACCGTAGTGACGGAATATAATAGCGCAGATAGCGCGCTGCCCGAACGCAGCCTATATGCTGTCTATGTATGCACATGTTATTCTATTAACTCCTTCCATTCCGTCGCTACGGTACAATAGACTAGGCTGTCCTTACACTGGATGCACGCTGATTAGCGGATCTTTATTAATTCATATCTCGTTAAGTATTGCGAATCTTCCAAAGTAGTATAAGACTTTTCGTCTTAGAATAACCCCTTCTTCTTGCCTACGAGCGGTGAGACGGCAATTATGGGACACCTTGTATATATATATCGAAGATTTTAAGTATAAAGAACTTCTTTGAGATTTACTGAAATATTAAATTACATATAAAAATATTTATATTTATTGACCTAAGTTTAATATTTATATTTATATTGACATACTTTTATTACAATTTTATTACAAAATTTTAATATAAAATCTAATTAACTGACACAGTAAATTTTAAGAATAAGTAATTCATTATATTCAGTTTTGAATAGCGTTCTACAATTTATACTGAAATTTTTTAGCAAGTTGTACTTCTTCTTTTTATAATTTCAACGATTTTACTAACTTTATTTTCATCAGAGACAAACAATTTTTTAAATAGATGTTCATACTTAATAGATGGAGAAATCATGGGAGTTCCGCGACTAACTGGAAATTCCACTGGCGGATATAAAGCGGCAATTTGTGGTTGCAAGCCGCAGTTGTAAAGTTTTCCAATCCCTTGTAACATTATAACAACTGGATTTTCGGTCGTGCAATGAGTGAGCGCGACATTAGTCACTTCTGGATGAAGAGATTCTTCCAAAATGTGCTGCAAAACGCTGGTTGGTGCAATTTCGACAGTTACAGCAGTTTTTGGAATTGTACATATTGTTTGTTCAAGAAGAACAGTAGTCATTATGATATTCGTGAGATAGTCAGCAGAGCACAATTGTGCTGCTGGAGTAGACCATTCAGCAGAGGGCACAGATGTGCTGATCCATCTTGAGCTCCTTTTCTTAGGTTGTGATATTAGTTGACTTAAGTTTTGTAAAAGTGTATCTTTGATAGATGCAAGATAATGACTGTGATAAGGTATATTGTTACAGAAAATTTCTTGCACATACGTATTATTAGCCTAATGAAACAGAATTAACCGATCAATATGTAAATTTAATGTATAAAGTACTTTGTACGCTACTAAAATTTCATTATATATACAGGGTGGTTTATTTTAATTGACGGTTTAAAATATCTTTTGAACAGTGCATTTTAAAGAAATATGTTTAAAACAAAAGTTAGTTTCAAACAAAAGTTGTATTGTTTGAAGGAAGACATAACAAGGTGCCATTGATTTGACTTTGAGTTATTTGAAAGTTATCACTAATTTCTTAAACGCGGAATTGCACTTATCTCATTACAAAATTTTGTAGCATATTTCGAGAGCTTTCCAAAACACTATAATAAAGTACTTTTTCGTTAAGTATTTTTCGAGTTTTAAAGTTTGAAAGTTACAGTACCGCCGACATTAGAATTATTCAAGGGGTGTATTCCGATATTCACTGCCAGTACTGGCAGCGCTACAAATACCGTTTCAAAATACATAGCAGTGAGCTGTCAAAGCATTTTTGCGAGCATACACAGAAAATAAATGGAGTTGCTTCAATTAAAGTTGACGTCACGGGCTGCCACAAAAATAAATAGTTCATTCAATTGCATATGCGATTAATTTAATGTCTAAATTCTTAAAGCAACTATCTGCTGTGTATAGTGCAATAATATTGATGTTGCATCAACAGGATATATTTCAATTAAACTGATACTGTTGATTCACCATTTTTTTTCCGTGTATGACATCACGGATTTTGTCGTCATTTTCTGCTTTCATTACTACGGTTGAAGAGGTAAAGCAGTCGCACTAGAAAGGTGATGGCGTCTATGACTGTAATACATTTACTAGATGCTGAGACAAATATAGAATATATATTTCAAGTCACCAAAGAAAATGCTGAAAAAGTAGCATGATGTTCACAGCGTACACGTGGAATTGAACTTTTGTTTCTAGATAATAATAAGAATTCTTCTTCACTGTCTGATGACTCTATGAAATGTTTTGCTAACTCTGTTAGCATTACAATTTTTAGGTCTATTTTTTATTTTTTTACGTATTATTAACGTATCTACTGACTAGCTTGCGCTTATGATTATGTTTGAACATTTCAAAATACTATAAATATCGTTCCGTTATAGGACGGAAAAAACAGTATAAGTAATTGTGGAACATAGAAACAACATTGTTTTATGACGTTACATTGTCAGTACTGGCAGTGAATATCGGAATGCACCCAAGATCTACTACGTAAAGATTGTCCGGTCGGATTTCCACTTCTGTTGTGTGCGCGCGCACGTGTATGTGTGCGTGTGTGTGATATCACAGCAGAGATACGGATTCTATGGTTCGTCACTCCCTTATTGTGAAACACCCTGTATATATACAGGATCTTCAAAAAGTCCGAAAACGCTAAATCCTCTTGAAAACAATCAACTTAAAAAAATATGTAAGAAGTAAAGTTGTAAGACTTAAACAACTATACTTACTAGTAATAAGAGGTTGTTCTTGGGTACAGTCTGCAAGGTCATATAAAAATCAAGTTAAATTTTTTAAATAAATCCTTCATTTTTTATTGCATGTTTGTATAGCTTATTTCAAAAGCTTTCCAAAACATTGGAATAAAATATTTTTTCATGAAGTACTTTTTGAGTTACAGAGCTTGAAAGTTAAGAGAATTATCGATATTACCAGTACTCGAGGTGCATCGTGGAGGTTGCATGTTTGGATTTACACACTTTCTCTCCCTCTCTCCTTCCCTTCCTCCCTCCCTCCCTCCCTCCCTCCTTCTCTCTCTCTTTCTCTCTCTCTCTGTGCGTGTGCGCGCGCGCGTGTGTGTGTGTGTGTGTAAGGATTTCATGGTTCGTCACTTTCGTAGATTTTCCGACTCTAAACCATAGACGTAGAATATATAGAGTGCGCGTTTGGCTGAAAAGATGTCTTCATGGTTGAGAGAGACAACACACTTGGAATAGTAACTCTCTCTCTGTCTATCAATGTCTGTGGTGGGATCAGGACCTACTGTTTCATATCACCTACCCTGCCATCATCTTTTAATTCTCTTTCACTTTTCCTCACCTCCACTATGTTTCTATCCCCACTTTTCCACTACTATTCTATCAATCAGCGAAGACTTGTTTTTCCCTCACTACTTCGCTAGACAAAGATGAGGTTACTATTCAACAGTAGCTGTTTCTCTCAACGTTGAAGACATTTTCTTAACATGGCAAAGGTAGGGAACGCGCAGTCTATACATTCTACGTCTGTGCTCTAAACTCGACTGTGAGTCCATATCACATGGCGCGAGCATACACGAACAAACGGTAAAAAGGGGAAAGACGTTTTAAACACATTTGATTAATTAGAAAAATAGAAACCAATACCTTAAAAGATATGTCACACGCTTACGCACACACACATACACAAACTCATACATACAGAAGAAGTGTAAATGCAATCTCCACGCGATGCATCTTGAGTACTGCTAATACCGGTAGTTCTCTTAACTTTCAAGTCTTATAACTCGCAAAATACTTCATGAAAAAGTATTTTATTATAATGTTTGAAAAAGATCTTGAAATAAGGTATACAAAACATGCAACAAAAAATGGAAAATTTATTTGAAAAATTCAACTTGACCTTTATATGACCTTGCAGACTCTACTCAAGGTCAACTTCTTATTACCAGCAAGTACATTTTTTAAAGTCCTAACACTTTACTTCTTACATATTTTTTGCTTAAGTTGATTGTTTTCAAGAGATCTAGCGTTTCCGGATTTTTTGAAGTTCCTGTACGTAGAGACCCTGATAGCCACCTGTCTGTGTTTTTGCTGTCATGTTGCCGAAAACAAAACGCTTGAGTTTTCAACAAATTTAGAACAAGGTGAGTCAGGCATTTGTCTTTGGTTTGACATGACACGTATTTAACATGTGTTGCCGACAACTTGCTGTATATTTGCTGTCAACGGTTTATCACTAACATAAAGAGCAACATGACAACAAGTTGCCAACAACACGTCATAAATTTCAGCAAAAATACAATATGTCGAAAACGGACAAATATATATTCAATAACACATCGCTCTGTGAAAGGGGAATTAATTAATTCGAAATTTTATTCAAATTAATCTTTGGAGATCTGATTTAGTCCGCCGATCAACTGATTAACTCGATGAAAGGTACCGGACCCGGAAAAAATCCTAAGGTAGATGGGTAGGATTTGAACTTGAGACCTTCATATTTGCAATCCCTGCACTCAGTCCGCAAGACTACTTGTTCCTTACTAAAATATAATTATTTTTGTCTACTTCCCAGATAGCCAAGTTTGTCAAAAGCAGATCATGCAAGTGTCTGCTATCACCTGTTGTCAACAAAAAGGCTACAAATCTGATACAGAAGTTGTTATTATTGATTAAGTCTACAAATTGATGCCAAAAATCGAGCAGATCTTGCTCACAAAATCTGACAGCAGATTGACTGCAGAAACCGAGCAAGATCTGCTAACATGACTTGACGGCAGATTGGCAACAAAAACCGAGTAGAATCTGCAGCTTTTGGCGATTCACGTAAAATGATGCATTTAAAAGGTTTCAAAATGTTATTTTTATAACATAAAATATAGTTAAGTCTTTTGAATTAACTATTTTTTTAGTTTAAAATAAAAAATGCAATGCAATAATTTTATTATATAATGTTACAATGATTGTGTTACATATTACGCGTTTTCAATTTATCTATTAAGTTATAATTATAAAAAAATTATGTTTGAAAAAAGTGTTTTATACAAAAATTATAGAGGTTGTAGTGTGACACATTATATAATAAATTTACTATGTATGTGTACACTATGTGTATAGCAAAGAGAATTTAAATTAATGTTTAAGACGGTAATAAATTATATCTATCTATATATAATTTTAGTGTATGATTATGTATAATTTTTTTATACATAATTATAATTTAGTAGAAAAGTTGAAAACGCGCAATAATATGTAAAAAAATCATTGTAAGAATTATATAATAAAAATATTGCTTTAAATTGTTTACTTATTTTACATTTAAAAAATATAAAAATAATATTGAAATCCTTTAAATGCACCATTTTATGAATTGCTAAAAGCTGCAGATCTTGCTCGGTTTCTGCCGACAATCTGATGTCAAGTCATGTTAGCTGCAGATTCTGCTCGGTTTCTGCTATCAATCTGCTATCAGATTCTGTGAGCAGGCTTTGCTAGCAGATCGTAAGCCTAATGCGGACATAACAGATGCACTTTCCTCGCAACTTTTTAGTATATCTGTTGCCAATCTGCTGGCATATTGCGTGCATTTTGCTTACTGGGTTATTCTAAAAGACGGTCATTTGTTTTCGACATTTAATGGGCTACAAGATAGAATAAATATATGTCAACAGTTTTTACCAACCATACGACAGAAGTACAGGCATCGGTGTCTTGTTTTGTTATCGTCATGTTGCTCTTATGTTGCCGAAAACGAATGATAAAGCAAAGAGTTTTCTATAAATAAAAGTCATTTTGTTGACAACGTAATGAGCAATAGTTGCTCTTTGTGTGCTCTGAATCTGGTGGCACAAAATGTCTCACATTTGCCTTCGTGTTGTCGATTACGTATGACTATGCATCATGTATTCAGCAAATACACAGCAACTAATTGAAAACTTCAGCTTAGCATTAAGTTACATGATTTTGCAAAACATGCTTGGCTATCAGGGGAGTGTCTGACAATGAACGACTAGGGGAGACTACGACGTTGTACCAATTGATTTGAACGAAATTCATAAGATTAATAAATGATTATGTAGAGTATTACAGAGTAAAGTAATAAGACGCACTACTCAAGCATTCGCGAGAAAATCGAATTTAAAAATTTTAAGTTACCTTATAAGGATATTAAATAGATCGTTTAATCGAAGAGCGCGTAACGTAGCGGTAGCGTACTAGGTACTAGGTTAGTAATGTCGACGCTGCTGGTTTGAGTCTCGATATATATACTTCTTTTTCTTCTCAAAATTCTACAATATAATCTAAATGTAAGTAATTTGTTTATTCTAAATGTAAAGAACGTTTTTTTTTTATTTATTGCATGTTATAAAAGTGCATTTTTTTGCATAAAAACTGCTATTTAAAAAATACGGTAAAAATACATATTGGGTCGGTGGAAAAATTCTGCGGATTTTTTAATAGATGACACTAGTGTCAGAAAATAATTATCGCGTGTCGTTCTAATGTCAATCTGCCGCACATATTTTGACAAGTCACACTACGCTTGACATTTGGCAGAAGTGTTTGTTTTGGTCGGACGTGTTTTGCGTGTACGGCATACAACTAAAATAGAAGATCAAAAATTGCATTTTCGCCATATTTTTCTGTTTTTATTCCGTAAAGGATATAAAGCGGCGGACGCTAAGCGCGCAATATGCGCCATGTATGGTGCCTCGGCCTTAAGCGCAGACACATTCAAAAGATGGTTTACTCGCTTCCGTTTCGGAGAATTTAACCTTCAAGATGCACCACGCTCTGGACGGCCAAATTCTGTTGACGACGACCAACTCCTGGCTACAGTGAAGAGTGATCGACACTTAACGACTCGAGAGATTGCGAAGCGCTTCGGCATTCATCATACAACCGTTATGGATCGATTAAAAAAGCTTGGCATGGTGAAAAAGCTTGATGTATGGATGCCGCACGAACTGAGCGAAAAGAACATCATGGATAGGATTATAGTGTGTGAATCTCTCCTGAAACAAAACTCTTTAGACCCATTTCTGAAACGGATCATCACTGGAGACGAGAAATGGGTTGTCTATAACAACATTAAGCGGCGGAAGTTGTGGTGCGGACCGGGCGAGTCTTCACAAACGGTGGCAAAACCTAATATGCATCCACAGAAAGTAATGCTATGTATTTGGTGGGACTATAAAGAAGTGCTGTGGTTCGAGCTGCTCCCGCAGGGCCACAAAACAAACAATAGATTCGAAGAAATACTGCGCTCAGCTCGACAAATTGCGCAAGGTAGTGCAAGAGAAGCGGCCAGAATTGTCGAATAGAAAAGATGTGATTTTCCATCATGACAACGCTCAACCACATACTTCTTTGATCACGAAAAAAAATTGCAGAGCTTTGGCTGGAAAATGATGCAGCACCCACCATATTCGCCGGACCTTGCACCGTCTGATTATCACTTGTTTCGCTCGCTGCAAAACAATGTTGACGGTCATCAATTCGACTCAATGGAGGCCATCCGAAATCACCTCGTTGATTTTTTCGCCCACAAGTCCCAAGGGTTTTACGAGAGCGGCATCAAGGCCCTACCGAAACGTTGGCACCAAGTTGTAGATCAAGACGGTCAACACATTGTGGACTAAATTACTTTTTATAAATGTCGATTTTGTGTTAAAATTTTATACTAAAAATCGGCAGAATTTTTCCACCAACCCAATAGATTATTACTAATTACTAATTGTGTTCATAAAAAGCGGATAATTAATTGTACGCAACATGTAAAACTATACCCAACATGTTTTATTTATTGGAACTAGATGAGACAATATTCAGCAAACACAGAATATAGCAACTATAACATAGAAGTAACATGTAATATAACGGCTGTTTTACTCTATTAACATTGATGTTATATAACTTCTTTTTATAATTGTAATATAATTGTGTTCCATATTTATTATATTGCTTTGGTATTATCTGCTCGGTAAAAAATTTTCCATGTATGATTATATATGATATTATATATTATAAAAATTTTTTAAAAATATAGTAAAAATATAGTTTTATATAATTTTTTGTATCTAACATGGTACTAATAGAGTTATTTTGTAATTTGATATGGAATATTTCTAAAGCCATTCTTTTAAAAAAAGAAATTCTCCGTGTATAAAATTGTATGGACATATTCGGCATATAAATTTGGATAATTAGATATAATAATTCTAATTTGTGTATAAGTATATATGAAAAAGTTTTTACCGGGTGGCAATGACATTATAACAGCAATATATAATTGATATGGAATATGTTACATAACAAATGTTATCTGAACTCAACATTGTTGTTATATAACGTTATTTATCAATATATAATTATTGCAATATAATAGTAATGAAACAGTTACATAGCTTTTATAAAATTGTATATAACTGTTAGGAAATTACTACATTAGGCGATTTTTGGCGATCGTATGGTACATATACCAAAGTGTACCAAACTATAATTTGAAGTCACTCGAACTATAGTTTGGTACACTTTGGTATATGTACCATACGATCGCCAAAAATCGCCTATTGTCGTTGTTACTTGATAACAACATATACAGAGTGTCTCAGAATTGGTGTAACATCTCTCGTTGACAGGTAGAAGAAGTAAAACTAAGCCGATAAGTTTTATACCATTTTGCTAGATTCACAATACTTCTCGAGATTTTAATTAACAAAGATCAACGAATAAGCATGCATCGGGTGCGTAAGACAGCCCGGCGCGCTTCGCGTGCTTACGATGTTACCCGTAGCGACATATGGGAGGAGCTAATATAACAGCATGTACTTTAACATATACGTATTAAGAGGGTACTGGAGCCCAGCCTGTAAACTGGATAGAGACCTGTAAACCGACGTTTTAAAAATCTAAATTTCTCTAATTTTTAAGTTTCTTTACTGCATTACATAAAAAGTGTTTCTATAGAAGCAAATACATATAAATATCTATTTAGTGCTTTTGAAAATAGATATATAATGCCTTTTGAAACTCTTTTTTTCATTCATAATGATAGTGTAAGATAGAGAGCGGATGTTTTAATGTAACTCGCAATAA